GAACTATAGTCTGTGAAACGAATAACTTTGAATTTGACAGTTCCCGCCGGCTTTTCTATAGTGTTAACCGTGTTAATTTTATTAGGTTAGCACTTTGAATAAGAAGACTAAGGAAGGAGCATATCAAAAATCTTAGGTACACCGCGATGGGCCTCAAATATGGCCGACTTAAATTCCGGTTTATCAGTGTCGTTCTAATTTTATTTAAAAAATGTAAAACTATGATGTAGGGTAGACGTGGGGTAGACTCAATAATTTGTTGTTTTATTTTACGTTGTGAATAAATGTTGGTAGTTATTAAAATTGTTATAAAAATATATAATTCTAATCAAAAATAGATAAGTTATAATAAGTATTTATTAACACAAACATCCGATACGCTACTGAAGCAGGTAAGTCAAATTAACGTATCTAAATTCTTTTGACATCTAATCTTTGACAAGTAATAAATAAAAGCTAAAATGCAAGAAAAATATATAATTTAGTTAATTTAAGTGAATTTCATAAATGATCGGTTTACTACACGTATGTATATTATATAGTCACTTACTGAAAGTTGTTCCATTATTTCACTCATTTTTTGCCGAGACCTACCGCACGCTACACAACCAACTATTTTAGACATTTTTTCGATAAATCGCGATAGTGTCACTGTTAATTTAAGTGCTGCCACAATTTCCATCTAGATTTACTACCTTATACAACTATCAGTAGTAGAATAAATAATAAATAACATAAAATAAGCTACGTATAGACTGAAAAATCCACAAAATTTCAAATCAAATTCAAATGTGTCAAATAAATCGTCAAACAGAACTGTCAAGAATCCCCACCCTAGAGTGCTTTTATGGCGCTTTTTCCGCCCACCATGCATGAATACATGGATAGCATTATGCTCCTTCCTTAGTTTTCTTATTCAAAGGGTTAGCAACTTGCGGCCATGCTGACGCAATGCCGTCTCTAATAGAACAGCCCCGAAGCGAGATTTATGACGTCACGCTAGTTAGATACTATGGATTAATAAATATGTTATAGAATACATAGAAAACATAATTATTCCTCGTATTTTTGGTTTGTATTTTAAAAATGATATAGTTTACATGAAATATACATATAAATTTTGTGAATGCAAATAATAATACATCACTTCGCGACCATTTAACCTCCTGCCAAGCATTTGCCAAACGTCGAACATGATGGGCAGTTCATAATAGTATATAGTTCACCTTGCCACATTGAAAAATAACTTCAAAAAAGAAATGATAATTGAAAAAATTGCAAATTGTTGGTGGCAAGCTCATTTCGCTCTTAAAAATTAATCAAGGCTTGTATTGACATGATCCAAAAAGCAAAATGCTCAGGAGACATGGTTCTGACTGTCAAATTTTATTTTAGGAAAATTTACACACGAAATTATTGCACAGGGTGTTTCAAACTTAGGGTAAAAAAGCAACTCTTAATAAATATGTTATAGAATACATGGAAAACATAATTATTCCTCGTATTTTTGGTTTGTATTTTAAAAATGATATAGTTTACACGAAATATACATATAAATGTTGTGAATGCAAATAATAATACATCACTTCGCGACCATTTAACCTCCTGCCAAGCATTTGCCAAACGTCGAACATGATGGGCAGTTCATAATAGTATATAGTTTACCTTGCCACATTGAAAAATAACTTCAAAAAAGAAATGATAATTGAAAAAATTGCAAATTGTTGGTGGCAAGCTCATTTCGCTCTTAAAAATTAAGCAGGGCTTGTATTGACATGATCCAAAAAGCAAAATGCTCAGGAGACATGGTTCTGACTGTCAAATTTTATTTTAGGAAAATTTACACACGAAATTATTGCACAGGGTGTTTCAAACTTAGGGTAAAAAAGCAACTCCTCGATTAACCCTGTATAATATACCAAATACTAAAGTTCATCAAAAACAGAGTTTACTAGGTAATAAAAGGTGATATAATTATACACCAATTGAAAGTTTTGAAGGTAACAGCTAAGAAAGATCATGAATAAATAAAAAAGATCTTATGTAAGCAAAGTTGGTTAGAATATATTTCGAAGATCACTTGATTCTCTTTCACGACAAATATATCGATCCCTGCACTTAAGTGCTCGTACTACTCTTTTAACAAACTAATTTCACCAACTAAATAATGTTCACCCTTCCTATCGGAAGCCCAACGAGTCCGCGGCATTGTTATGCAAATGCCTTACACGACGTTTGTCATCTAATCCTTGCTTTATGAAGTTGTAAGCCGAGGCACGCCGTCCACTTGCCCATGCGGCTCTCTCTTTTGTGTCATCGGGACGGTTCGCATTTAAATTATTGGTTTCTTTCGGCAAGGGTGTAGGTTAATTTTAACACTGACGTAATTGGAGTGCTCTGTTTGATGTTTTAGTGAATAAATTATTACTATTATCGTTATAAGTTTATGTTTTTTATTGTATTCGATGTAGGACATGTAGGACATCCTGGACAGCAAGTTTTGTTGATTATTCAAGTTGGGTTATCCAATACCCATTCTATCCATACTTCTGATGAAAAGACACCCTAAAATGGGACACCCTGTAGAGAGTTTCGACAACTATTTTCATGTATTGATATTTATACAGGGTTTATCACCTTATTCGACACGGAGTATTGTAGCCACACGATCAGATTTTTTAGAAATTGTGAGTGGACTACTAAAGGTACCATTTAAAATTATTTTCAAAAGGTACATCGACAACAAAAAGAGAAAATATCAAAGTTGTATTTTCTTAAATAGAACACCCTGTATATTATTACATTTTTAGTTTTTACGATTAAGATAAGGTAAATTTAATTAAGGTTTACCGCACTATATTGTCGCGACTTGGGGGTTGTTCGCTAGCATCGTTAGACCAGGGTCTCTCTTCCGATTAAAACAACCATTAGAAAAATATACATTTATTAAATAAAAATGCACAGTGTGGATAAAAATATCAGGAGAACAATTTCAGAAAATGCTAAGGCTTGCTAAGGCTACGGGTATGCTGAAAGGAGTACTTACAGGAATATCTTCAACGTCTTCACTGTCTTCTGACTAACCATTTGACTATCAACTTACTATAAACTAACTATGAACTGACTATGAACTCCTAATGCGTATAACTCCGCTCTCTTCAGCATACTGCTTTTATATTCTTCTATTCCTCGTAGTCATCGCCGGTTACGTCGTCGTCAAAATAGTTTACAATCAAATTAACCTAAGCCGGCTATGACTACGAGGAAATCGAACTTCGGTGACCTGCGTTTGATTATCGATCCGAGATTGTTATATTTTAATTGTTTAATTATTAATGTTATTTAATAACAAATCTGGGTCGATTGCACGCAGGTAACCGATCTCCTGGGCTTACATCAAATTGGTTTACTAGAATTATATTTTACATGATTTTTCCCAATTTGATATAAACCCAAGTTGACCTCTATTTAAGTGCTGACAATATTCACAATATTAGAATCTCTACTCTTTGAAAATTTGTTATGTCTTTAAAAATAATCAAAAATGTCAATACGCCATGGGTATATTGATAAATAAGGTATAAATTACAAAAAAATGCATTAAAAAAAAACGGTAAAGATAGGTAGAATTTTTTTTTAGAATTTAGAATGAGTGGGAGGGGGGTTAATCACTTCGACCTTACAGATCCATTGTGTCCCCCTTTCTTGAATCATAACTCATCATACAGTCCCAGGGCTTTGACAAAAGCCGGTATCTGGGACGGTTTTATAGAGGGTAGTTCTCCATCTCCAATATCAGTCGTACCAAAATTCATGGCACGAATGGTTGTCGTCTCGGCGCACTCAGTGATGAGGTGTACTGGTGTTTCCCCATCTTCCCCACAGAATCTGCATTCGCCGTTTCTTCTTAGTTTCAATCTACTGAGGTGTTCATTGAGGAGACAGTGTCCTGTTAAAAACCCCGTGACAATCCGAAGATTGTTCTTACTCAGACCCAGGAAGATCTGTGATTTTTCTTGATCGTAAGCCTTCAGAAACTTCTTCGAGTGTCTTAGACCATTGCAAGATTTCCATTCCAGGTTGCGGATGGAATCTTCCAAGTTCTTGAGTTCCGCCTTGAGTTGGTTACCACTTGGATTGTGTGTTCCATTTAAATTATGGCCTATATCCTGTGCATCATATTAAGCTTTGAAACTCGTTTTATCAATTGACATGATTTGCCGAGTTTAGACATTCACAATCACAATACATTGTTTCGATTTGTTGTTGATTCTTCTAAACGCGTCTGGAAACCTGTAAAAATTTCAAAATTAGAGACATTGTCAGTTCAAGAATATATTTTATTTCAGAAATCTTTTTTTGTTTCTTCATTCTTACTTCTCGATACTCTCGACTTATCTTGTCCAACAACAACAACCGGTCCGTTCGAGAGGCTGTATGATTTATGGGCGCCGATAAATGTCGATATCGAAAAAATTGAAATACTATCGATACCAGACATAATTCTGCACGCGACATGACATACTCAGCTGTTAACACAGTCATAAACAACGCAGATCATACGGAGTTGTCAGAGGCAGAACTTGGCGAGTTTATTATTCTTCGTACCGGAGCACGTACTTCGTGCGTTTTGTTACCCGTGGCAAAAAATACGCAGATTTATTTCTTAATCCCCAATATTTAGTGTTTATCTTTATTTTCCTCATAGATATTTTTTAGTTCTACACTGCATTCTACAGGGTTACCCACCTCATTCGACACGCAGCCAAATCGTAACCCAGGATCGGGCTAAGCCTAAGGCACATTTCTGAAATATGATATATATTTCCTTCGGCCATATACCCGTTTTATCCGACCCCTGAGAGCGACTCGAAAGTACAGCGTAATAGACTTATTACGGCGCACAGTATAGGCTATAATTTATTATCGCGCGTCAATGTATTAAAATATGGTGTATAATGGTGTATGGTGAAATAAATAAATATTTTTTTTGGTTTCAGGTTGTCCAGAGACAGCTTTCATCTACGCCATCACCAGCGCCGCTGTCACTCACTCCATAGCCCGCGCATGCTCCGAAGGCGCCATCGAAACCTGTTACTGCGAGAAACACTACCGGCGTCCTCAGGTTTTCAGTAACGGCAACACCGGAAGCGTTACCACCAACGTGAGGGACTTCGAGTGGGGCGGGTGCTCTGACAACATCGGTTTCGGCTTTGACGTCAGCAGGGAGTTCGTGGACACGGGGGAGAGGGGGAAGAGCTTGAGGGAGAAGATGAACTTGCACAATAACGAAGCAGGAAGATCGGTAAGTTTAGTGTATGTAAGGTTGCGTTATTTTTTTGAGTTTCGGGATTTGGTTTTTTTGGTGACCTCAATTAAAAACTGCGGGGTGTATAGTAAAATTTTTATTTCAATTTAGAGCAACAAAAAATTGTAGATTCTATGTACAATCTACAAAATTTTGATTTTTGTAATTTCACTTTCAAATTTCATGAAAGTATGGGCAATATCAACCGCTAGTTCGTCTTTGTTTTGAATCACCAAAAATTCTGAATGTCTCTTTAATTTTTCACATACTTCACTCATATTATTTATAGATGAACACAGAATGTCTTTGGTCTTCATCTTCTTCCTCTTCGGCTTGAGCGAGTCCTGTCTGTCCTTAGTTGTTTGTAAATTCCTGGATTATTCCCTGCATCTCTAAACTAGGATTTTCCGTAGGGACATCTGAATCGACTGTCAGATATTCTTTAAGATCTGGACTTCCTGGCACGTTTTTTTAAAATTGAAGATAACTGACTTAAAGGAATGTCAGTCCTCTTCGTCAAATGCATCGTCCCCTTTGACGGTACTTTGCAAATCTCTGCTTTTGGAAACATTTTTATAGTGTTCGATGTAACATTTTTCCATGCTGTACTTATCCACACCATAGTATTTCTTGCCAAATTTATGCTCTCCTTTAGCCTTTTCCATCGTTTCTTCGGTATTAGTAAAAGTCAAAAAGTCTTTAATAAAAAATTGACGATTTTAATTTAAAATTTTGAATAATTCCTTGGTCCAACGGCTGGCAATGAGATGTCGTATTTGGAGAAAAAAATTATACAGAACATTTTCAAGTTCTATTTTTGGGTGAGACGTGGCATTATCCAAAAATAAAAGAACTTTTTCTACCCCCAAGCCGTTTCATTTGGTGTCAAAGGTTTTGAGCCAAGATGTCATTATATCTGTCGTCATTCAAGCTTTTTTGTTGGATACCCATTCTATCGGCAATTTATCTACATGCGCTCCTTTAAAACATCTCGGGTTTTTGCTCTTACCTATAACTAGCGGATTTTCCTTCTCACCATGCATGCTGCAACAGAAAAGCAGTGTCACTCGTTGTTTTAAGCTGGATTTTTTGCCAGCACATTTATCATTCTTTAAAGCAAAGGTTTTGTTTGGCATTGCCATATAATAAAGCCCTGTTTCGTCTGCATTAAAAAATGTCTTTAGGTGTCGTATTCTTAATGATTGCTGTTAATTTTGTTTTTCCAGTCTTCAACAGTCACTTCATCCACATCTGCAGACTCACCACAAATTGTTTTGAAGTTAATATTATGTCTCTTGCAAAACTTATTTAACCAGCCAGTTGAAGCCTTAAATTCACTAAGTTTCAAGGATGTAGATACCTCAAGAGCTTTTTCCCGAATTAAAGTTCCCGATATAGGTATGTTTTTGTTCCTTGCGACACCTTTTATTTGGGAAAGCTAGGCTAGAACCGGAGGAACTATGCTCCCATCCTATCAAGGACCTGCATAAGCTAGTGCAGGGCACAGGGATAGGAGAATGGGTGCAGATATAGAAAGGACAAACACAATAGGCCTCACAGGTCGCAGTGTTTCCGGCAAAGGACGGCCTGTTATGAAAAAAGAAGGATCTGTATAATAACTTTCACCAATAGAAATAGTGTTTTTCGAGAAAAACTTCATTAATTCATTACTGTTACGTTTACGTGGACGCGTGTGACGTAACGCGGGCCTGCCAGCGCGTGTGGTCCACCGACGGGCACACTATACATTAAAATGCATATTAAGTCGTTCGGGGCGACCATTACTAATAAAGTGACATTGGGGCTCGGAGCGATAGCCGCTCGCTTATTAAGCCAACGGTTTCGCTTGATGTGTTTATTATTCCTGGGGGGCGCGGGGGGACCGGTGGGTCTGCTGCTATATACCAACTACGAATGATACACCAAACAGTTGACTGGACGCATCTGTAAGCTTGGATTTTAATATTTATGAAGATTTTTTTTGAGTGATATTATTCTGTATGTCGTAGGTATCAACACAGATTATACAGATTATAAACTTTGTTTTTTCTTTATTGTTTTTCGTGGTTCTAATTTTCGGAATCGGGTACTAGTTTGCGCACATAGCACGCCCACTTATGGCCTTTAAAACTGTGCACAGCGCCTGACCGGCACAGTATTAGAGAGATATCGGAATACCGAATAGCGTCATGCCGTAGTTACGCGTACCTTATCATGGTTACGATATGCGCGAGTCAATTTTTAACGCAACATCCGCTAAGACCGTTACCGCCTGACGTAATTTGCGGATCAACTACACTAAGCGCTATTTCTAAATAACGTTTAAAAATTGCTTAAATGGGCATTTGACCACCGGGGCCGACGAGATTTTTTATTTTAGGTTATGTTCGAATTGTTTTGAATTATTACTTTAGTTTTATTAGGTAATTTGATATTTAAGTAGCTGGGATTAGTTTTAATTAAATAAATATGGCCCAAAATATGGATTCCACCTCTTCCAATATTAAAGAACCTATAAAGATGCTTAGGTTTACAGCAGATAACGACTCAGCCCTTCTAAGAGAATTTGTTGCTTGTTACCCTAAACCCACTGGCAGACGTTAAACAATAAAGCACTGGAAATAAGCACTTTAGTCAAAGAGTAGATAAGACAAAGAGACGACAGTTCGCGCGGTACCTTTCATGTTTGAGTGGTGGGAGAGTGCGACTCGTCTCGCTTGTCCCTTTAAATTTTCGTAATTTTTTCGCGGAAATTTTAAAAATACACTATTATAAAACTTGCCGTGTATAGCTTATAAATAGTTACTGTATGGGTAAAGAAATAAAGAGAAACGAAAAAATGAGTTTTCTAAATATTATATGCAAAAATAAATTATAATTAGAAACATATTAGTCGGGGAATAAAGATAATAAAAGCAATATTTTGTATATCGTTGGTAAAGCAAGATAAAGTGACCAAGTCGATTTGTAAGCGAAATGTTTTATTTACGTGTATTTTTTACATATGGAGTTGAACAAGTGTAATATTACAATGTGGAGTTTATGTACAAAAAATAGAGTTGCTAAATTTTTTGTAAAATATATTAGAAAGCTTCTAACCATGTCTTCGATCTATAGATTACATTTAGTTTAATAACATAATTATATAGTATATTTCTATAAAAATACTTTTACAGGATCCTTTGGAAAGAGTGAAATATTATGTTTGTCGAAGAATAAGACCTATTTTTGCAGTCTTTATAAGCACACACATGCCACCATCTCTCGTCTTTCCCTGCTACTCGTGTCCTGTTCACTATTCATATTTAACAATTATTACAAATTAGTACAACAAAACGATACTAAATTAAACCTTTAAAAACTCTCAAAACGATAATATATCGAAAACTCTAAAAACACACACTTCTTTAAAAAAGGCAAAAAATTCAAAGAAAACAATTAATCAGATTTGTTTATGTTTTAAAGCCTGATTAGCACAGCTGATTAGCGTCCTAAAATCATAGGTTAGAATTAAAATCATAGAATAAATAAAATACGCCATTGTCAGATTTTCAGATTTTATCTGTTTATCTTTGAAATCGATCAACTTAGTTAGTTATTCTGTTTCATTGATATTATCAGTACATTGCGAAAAAAAGAACCTAAACTAAAATTTAGATTTCCGTATTAACATACGTTACTTATATCTTTCTTATATTATTAATTTATTTTCAGAAAATCTTGTTTTATTTTTTTCAAAGAAATATACTTGGCAACAGACAAAATGGGACTTGATGGGACCTTTAAATTTTAATATATCTGTGTCTCTCTCGCGAAATTCGACTTCGTTGTTCACTGTCGTCTCTTGTCTTATCTACTCTTTGCTTTAGTTTTAAAATACCTATTAAACAAAACAATTTCAAAGTTTTAAATTCGAAGTTAGGTCAAGTTTAAATAGCGGACGCGACATGAACAGAATTCTTTCCGATCCGATAACTATAAATGAAGAGGATGTTATTACCACTCACGTAAAGAAAAATAACACCTGGCCTTATTAACGTCCATGCACGCTATTCGGTTTAGCGATATCTCTATTACGCTGTTTATTGTTATTTTACGCGAGTTTATTTTTGCGCACAGGAAATTTTACTCGTTTGCACATCGTCATAAAAAACAATTTTCGTACCACGAATTCGGGACCAGATTTTTATCTGTATACTTATAGGATACCTAATCTGTGGTATCAATATGTAGCTTTGTAATGATCACTAAGCTGGACGCACACCAATCCACAATCTAGTTAGGTATCGAGTAATCCTCGAAGATCAACAAAAATCCTCGAGACATACGGAGGATTTGAATACTCGAGTGATCCCATCACTAAGTAGTAATGGGATCACTCGAATTAACTTTCTGTAAACACTCTGTATAAGAATACAGGTGTTTTTAAAAAGCTCTCTCATTAGAGGAGATTCCTCACGGAAAAATATGATTCGTTCAACATAGGTCGATTCTGCTTTGTTTCATAGCTATAGTCTGTCCAACAGAAAGATCGCCAGCAGTAAATAGATGTGTCTGTCATTTAATTTCAAAGTAGTTTATTGTTATGCCTACGCGAGTTTAAGTTGGTACAACTGGAGACATAGCAGGAAATATTTGAACATCGTGATTGAAACACCACCATGAATTAGGCAATGGGATTACTTTAATCATATCTTGTAAATAATCTGTATAAGAATGAAAAATGTAATCGAGTTATTTTTATTTAATAAAAACGGTATGTGTTAATACAAACAAACAAGAACAAAGACACTACATACCAAAAAATATAAAAAAAGAACTATTATTTACTTTCCAAGCTTTATGGAAACTACCCACGCATTTATGATTATATTTATCAATATAGCTTATGTACAAATACAAATTTAATATTCACAGGAATAAATAAAACAACATAGGTAAATAAAACAAACTATTTTATTAATAATAACTCCTACCAAATTTTTACCTTAAAGTTG